GCGCGGATAATTTTACTAGTTAATTAATTAAGGGAAAAGACTTAAATATGCTAATCCAACTTTGAGAAAAATCTTATTTATGCATCTCAAAAAAAAATCAAATGGATTTTAGAAATTTGATTCATTTTTAAAAAAAATGACGTGGACGAATCATCATTCGCCACATGGATAAAATAAGTTTATAAAATTGGATGGGTTTTCCATTAAACCATAATGACATGGATTAGCCTTTTCTCAAATAGAAATGACATAGCCAAATTTTTAACATATGTCATTAATAAGTTCTTTTTTCAAAATTTAATGACTTATTAAAACTCTTTTTTTCATTAATTAAACCAATTAAAGGAGGAGTATGGTATATTAACAGGGGCATAACTATAGCCACCCCAGAGTGTTGAACTGGACACCCTTCGTCGAAAAATTATATTGTATATATATATGTCAAATTCTCAAAACTTAGGATTTGGGTAACTTCTTTAGCTTCTTTTTAGTAGATTTGATGTGTTTTGTAGTTGGGTTGCTAGTCAAATAGGGTTCGGTAGCTAAGTGTAGAAAAGTAGAACTGTTCAGTCACCTTTTTGGATTTATGAGGATAGTCTATGAGCCGTGGATACTACTATTAGAGTCACATTTTATTATTCTAACTTTATATTATATACTTTTTATTAAAAATTTACATGGTTTACATTCTTACTTCATAAGTCCTCATATATACTACCTCTATGGACCTCATTCGTAGGATTACACTAAGTATATTATAATTATTCAATTTGTATATATCAATTAAAAAAAATAAGATCTCACTATGAAGTTTGGCTTTAGGCCCCCAAACTTGTAGAGACAGCCCTAAAATTGACACTATATATGCATCGACAAGCTGAGAACTTCAAAATTTGACACTGATAGTAGCAGTATACATAGTAATTAGTATATCTTTACATAATTTGTTTGCATGAATTTGCGATCGTCAATGATTTCTATCATGTGATGCCACTTTCTCGAAATAAGGGAAGCAACTGTTCTCTGCTTCAATGTTAGAGAACAAAGGATTTTCTGGCGGATATCATTTGGTAATTCACAAATTAAACAATCGCCTTTACCTAATTCATACAAATAAATTCTGCAAAGTTATATTGTGGATATTACTATTAGAGTCAAAATTTAAATCTCATCCTGTCGATGCAGATACAGTGTCATTGCATATTGATTGTGTTCTCCCGACATATCACCATACCTCCACACAAGAAAATAAGTAAAAGTCTCACTAAAGGAAAATGTTAAAAAAAAAAAAAAAAAAACAAAAAGGTTAAAAAATATCTTGTTTTCACCTATTTTGCTAAAAATATCTCTATTTTATCTTTTTGATCCACTTATACCCTTTTTAAACTGTGACTGAAATTTTAGAGTCACACTCTATCTTTACAAGGTCTTGCACTCCTACTACCCAAAATTTCTTTGCATCTTATGTGATTATGTGGAGGCACAACCTAATTCAGTTAGTTGTTGTGATATACAGGTGCCTTACATGTATATACGTTTTTTGTTCAAATTTTTTTTTTTTAAAATATTTTGCTTGCCTTGTATTTAAAATAGATTCCTTTTTGTTAATAAATGGGGTCTTTGGGCCTCTTTAAAAAAATGTATTTAAAATAGATTAATACATGTACTTTTTTTTTCTTTGCCTTATATTTAAAATTTTCTCAAATACATATAACTTTTTAAAGTTTCTTTGTCTTATATAAAACAAAAATTCTCAAACGCACATTATTCTTTTTATTATTTGCCTTCTTTTATTTTTTAATTGATTTTATTTATTCCTTATAGTCAACTATATAATTACGTAAATATATACAATAACTAGCTTATTTGTGTAGTAGTGGTTTGTTTGTTGCTATTGTTTAGAAGCTAAATATGTTATTTCCTGGTCTTTAGGCTACAAGATTAGTGGAGTTGTTTAGATCAGAATAATTAGGAGTAATTTATGTGTTCTGTTATTAATAACTTTTATCTATTTAAGAACTTGTAATTGAGAAATAAAAAAGCACTTCCACTTGAAGATTATTTCCCATTGATTAATGTCTCCATAAAGGAGATGAAATCCTCTCTAATGGATAAATTATTTTTCGATGAACCATTTCAAGAAACATGCTTACCTCAACCACTTGCAGTACCTTCTTTAGTTCCACCAAATGATTTCTTCGCGGTATTGAATGGCTTGATCCAAAATCTAGAACTCGGCTATTTCAATGGCAAAATGATAGAAAATCAGATTGACACTTATTATGGTGAACATCATTTCAATATGTTTAATCATTTCTCGGACAATGAAAATCATTCCAATGTATCGAATTCAAATGAGTTCTCTATGAAATTCAATGAAGCACTTGAAGAATCATATTTACCTCAACCAATACATTCTTTAGTTGTTTGTTTATATTTCTTGAGTTGAGCATTTCTTAGATGCTATCACCTCAGTAGTGGATTGCCAATCTCCTCAATTTCAACACCTTCACCAAGTTGTTGCACAGCTTCCATAAATGTGGCATGAAGATCCATCCGTTTAATTTATGTTCTTCGCCTAACAATCTTATCAATAGCATTACTTTGACTTTTTCATTAATCTCTTTCATGCTTTTTGTACCTCTCTTCCTCACAACTTGATTAGGAGGTTCAAAGATTCACCAGAAAACAAAACAAAACTTACAAAAGCAACCAAATCCATCTAAATTTCATTCTTATACACAACCAATATCACATCACATATCCCAACAAACGACGGAAACCCATGGATCCCAAGCACATGCCATAAGCAATAACTGAAATCTTTAGTATCAATCTCAAACTATCGCTATGGTGATACAAAAGATTGAGAGAAGATTTTCTCACAACAAGATGCTAGCACAAATGCTGAACATGGGATTATTAGTCTTGTGTTCAGATTTTTGACTTGCTTCTATTAGGTGCCTATACACATATTGCCACACATTCTTATGAAACATTTCAATACATTTCTAGAAATCATCCCAATAAACTGAATTCAAACGAATTCCCTATGAACTTCCACGAACTACTTCAAAAATTATACTTACCTCAACCACCTTCATTACCTTCTTTAGTTCAATCAAATGATATCTTTGCATGGTTGAATGACTGGAATCAAGATCAAGAACTCAAGCATTTCAATATACTAAATTTGAATGAATTCCCTATACACTTCAACAAACCACTCCAAGAAGTATACTTACCTCAACCACATGATATATCTGTTGATATTTGGTAGAATTTTTTTACTTTTTTCTTTTTAGTCTAAAAATATTCTATAGTATTTAATTTCCTTTCAAGTCTAGGGTTTACATTAATTGCAAAATATTTAGTTTCCTTTTAGTTTAGTATCTAGAAGGAAAATAATATATTTTATTCTCCTTAATTATTTATAAATAGTGATGTACTCTTCTATTTGAATCAATGAATCAATAGAAAGAGTTATCCTTTATTCTCTCTTTAATTTTTCTTTCTAGTTTCTTCCATTCCATAACAATACCTTTAGTTCCATCAAATGATTTCTTCGCAGGGTTGAATGGATGGATTCAAGATCTAGAACTCAACAATTTTAATGTTCTAAATTCAAATGAGTCCCCTATGAACTTCAACAAACCACTTCAAGAAGTATACTTACCTCAACCCACTATAGCAAAATAAGCATTTAGTGGCAATAGATTTTTCTTTTAGCAAAAATATTGATATCGTAAAAACATTTAGCGACAATTGAGTTAATGTTATTGCATTCAGAGTGCTAAAGCCTTTAGTGACATTTATATAATGTGTTGATTATAAATATCTTTATTATATTATTTGCACTAAATATAATAAAGTAGTACTTATATTATTGCCGCTAAATAATTATCGCAAAATTTATTATTTGTTGTAGTGACCACCTTCAGTACCTTGTTTAGTTGAATCGAATGATCTCTTCACAGGGTTGGATGGTCGGAACCAACAACCAAAACTCGACAATTTCAATGTACTAAATTCAAATGAGTCACCTTACCTCAACCACCTGTGCGCAGTACCTTCTTTGGTTCCACAGAATGATTTCTTCGCAGGGTTGAACGGGTAGAACCAACACCGAGAACTTGACAATTTCAATGTACTAAATTCAAATGAGTTCCCTATGAACTTCAACGAACCACTTCAAGAATACTTATCTCAACCACTTGTAGTACCTTCTTTAGTTCCACCAAATGATCTCTTCACATGGTTGAATGGCTAGATTCAACAACCAGAACTCAACAATTTCAATGGTAAAATGATGGGGAAAAAATCAGATCGCCACTTATTACAGCTCAACTCAAGATAATATCTCCACAAGGTCGGTTGTGAAACACACCCACCCATCCCGAGGTAGAAGACACGCCAAGACAAATAGATAAATTGGGAAGCGGCATTTTTTTTTTTTTGCTTAACAATCTGCATACAATTGACATTCTTTGAGAATACACACACATAAAATTCACCAGCATTACTATTAAACTCGGCATCAACGATTTGAAATTAGCTTCAAATGTATATTAGTGTCAAAAAGATGGATAATGACTTCTAATACCGTTGATACAACATATTAGATTTTTCAAATTCACAACTCACTGATATATCAACTAGAAAAACAGAGAGATCAGAGTTGTCAATCATTGTAGCAGCCTCAGCAACAGTAACCTTTGGTTTCTTCGCCTTCTTCAGCATACTAGTACATTCCACACTTCTGTCAACTCTGCCATCAGTCATCACAACAATTACCTGATCAAGAATCAAAGAAAAGGCAATCAATTATGACTCGTGGCTGCTTTTTTTCTTTTCATTTTGGTTGCAAATTGGTCCATCAGGGAGAAAAACTAAATAAGATTGTGGATCAAGAATGCTGAAGATCAGTGATGAATTTCAAATCAATCAGTTGAAACAACATACCAATGGATGCGAGGAAAGGCTGAATTTCGCTCCTACATTCATGACCAGCTATCCTGTATTGAACATATTGTTATCAAATTAGATGCACGTAGATACTCAAAAACAGCACATAGGAGTTTGTTTCTACTTACTTCCATAATGATGAGGTTAAGACGGTCACATCCTTCAATTGCTTCGACTTCTTCCTTAATTCTCTCAGCTGAAGCCTCCAGAAATTTATTCTTGTACTGAATCAACTTAACCAGTTTCAGTGTTGAAATATAAGCAAAGCTAATGGGGATCTCCTCGAGCTCATCACACCTTTTTATAACAAGTGTTTCGAGCAGGGGAAAGGATTCCTCCGAGGCATCCCACCTTGAGATACCTAATGACACCAGTTTCAAGAGCTTAAGTTTATGCAATGTGATATCTCCAAGGCTCCATTCTTTGGATTGAATAAGATCTCCAGCTGCTAATTGGAGATACTCCAGATTTGGTAGTCCCGCAATGACAGAAATCATGCTTTCTATATGAATCCTGTATAATACCAACTTCTTTAAATTTGAAGGCAACCGTAGCTTGGATACAGCTTGGGACGACTTAATATAATTAAGGCGAAGTATGTGAAGCTGCTTAAAGCTCTCCAATTTGAGACAAATCTCTGCAGAATCATTATCTCCGTTAACAGAGATGTGAAGTTCTTGAAGATTAGGGCACCTCCATGACAACACATCCAGGCTATCAACTTGATCAATTGGAAATACAACATTCCCTAATGTCCTCAAATTTTCCAATTTAGAGCATTCTTCTAAGATCCCCTGCTTGTTGTTTTCCAAATCAAATTCAGCAGAAGAAATCTCAACATGCCTTAATTTTTCCATTTTCCAAAAAATGGCTGGTAACAATGTAGACGCGCAATGACAATTCAGAAATAAAGTTTCCAGATGGGGCAGATGAAATTCTGGATGAAAACTAAAGCTAAGTGTGTTAACTGCGAGGTACTTCAGGTGAATGAGTGGTTGCAATTGAGCTGACCGCAAAAGAGCCACACTATGAGAACTTAAATCCAAGACCTTAACAAGTATCAATTGATAAACATCATGACGGAAGGGATTCCACTCATAACCTACTCCATTCGTCATTATCAGTGACCTCAAGTGTTGGTAGAAAGTCTTGGTTCGTGTTTTGGATCTCAGAGATGCAAACTTGGAACGCTCATTATTAAAACTGAAGCTCACTCGACTTTCGTTCCAATCATAAGGTCGAAACTGGTAACGATTTGACTTCACTACCAGCATAAACTTTTCTTCTCTACTCTTCTCCAAGCAAAAGTGAAGCACTACATCATGGACATGGCAGTATTTGACTTTACTGTTATATCCTCTCGTTGAAACCATTACCACATTACTGTGAATGAGATCCATCAAGTAACCTTCAGCTTCCTCTTCCATTAATCTCCCAGATTCACTGTTTTGAATGAATCCTTCTGTGATCCATAAGCTTATCAATTTAGACACTCGAATACTCACATCCTCCGGAAACATCCCCATGTAGAGAAGGCAAGGCTTTAAATAATTGGGTAAGTTATCATAACTTAAAAGCATACTTGCCTGACTATAGTCTTCAGTCTCACAATCAAGATAGGAAAATAGAGCTTTTTTAACTTCATGCCACCAAGATTCATTCACTTTATTCCTTTTAATTATTCCAGCAGCTAAGATGACCACAAGAGGCAATCCTTTGCACCTTTTTGCAAGTGCTAGACTCACATTTTGTAGTTCGGGTGGGCAACCTTCCTGCTGAAATACTTTTTTCTGCAACAATTGGCAACTCTCTTCTAGTGTGAGGAATGGAAGGAAATAAGGATCAATATGGTGCATGACATGGGCACCGACTTTCTCAAGTCGAGTTGTTATTACTATTCTGCTTCTATTTCCATCATCTGGAAAACAAAGCCTTAAGTCATCCCACGCCATACAATCCCACATATCATCCAAGACAATGAGATATCTCTTACTCATTAAGCTTCTCCTCAATAGTTTGGCAAGGACATCATCCTTATCTCCATTGTCCTTGGAACCTGTAACTTGACTGAAAATCACTTGTAATAGCTCTCTTCGATTATATGTTTGGGAAATGATGCACCATGCTCGAACATCAAAATGGTGAACAATGCTGACATTATTATACAACTTTCGGGCACAAGTTGTTTTGCCTTGTCCCCCCATCCCAACAATAGGGATGACATCTAGTTTATTTGTCCCTCGAGTCAGATGATGACTTATTGTTTCTTCTGCTTTCTCAAAACCCACAATCTCCTCGTCATTCACAAGATTGCTATATTCAATTGGCAGATGTTTAGATAGCTCAACCACAGAGTAGGGCCTAACGGAGAGGTTCTTCGACCACATCTTGGTCACCTCCGTATAGATATGCTTGATCTCTTTTATGATTCCAGGAAGTGAACAAAAAAAATGTTCAAGAACATTATATTGAACAAGAATAAAGTCGATAGCAACTTCAGCTTCATATGCCAAATTGACAGTATACTTCTGAAAATCTTTAAGAACTTCATGTTCGTGCTGCACCTTTGCAGCATCTTTAAAAACATATGTTAGAGATGAGAGCTCTTTCTCTAAAATGCCAATATGAGGCTTCATCATGAAACCTAAACCTGTTTCAGATTTCAACATCTCATTCAATTTTCTAAGCAGAGAATCAACAAAGCTCAATCCACCACCAGTGGGAAACTCATGAGATGGAATGAATTTTAAGGATTTGTAGTACGTCTCCACTCGTGCCTTTAGATCTTCAATTTTCTCCAATATCTTGTTGGTGTCTTCTCTGATTGTAGATCCTACAGGAAGCATTTGAACTACACATAGTATGTCGCCCACAAGAACTCCAATCATTTCTAAGACTTCATTCAACCTCTTTTCATTAATAACATCATTTGGCACTTCACCGAGAAAAACCAACAAAAACTCTATCACATCATCAATGTTTTGAGCAGATACATCAGTTGTGAAGTTCTTAGGTTTTTTATCTCTAAGATACACCAGAAGACTACGGAGATGATGTGAAAATATTTTTAGTAATTTCTTGTCCTTGAAAGTTCTTGATCGAGTTAACTTCGAAGCCTTTAGCTCACTTAGAAAAATCTTCTTCATTTCCAGCTCCACTAGCACAACCAAGAATAGTAGATAAGGAGGCTTAATCTTGAAACAAAATGTATCATCTCCATCCTCTTCTAAATCTTTATCAGTATCATTTTCATCCTCTTTTAAATCGGCATCATCTTCATCCTCCTTCAAATCGGCATCTTCTTCATCCTCTTTTAAATCGGCATCATCATTATAAACCCAAATAGAAAGACAGAAGTGTCCCACATTTTCAGCCATAAACTGAATTCGGGTACGCAAGCCTTTCAACTTCTCATTGTCGACATAACCATTTAACTCTATGCCATATAAGTATCTTAGATATCTCATTTTCTTCTGAAGCATTTTGATTTCTTTTATCAAAACACGGCCAGACTTGACTAGATACCTCAGTGCATCATTTAGATTCTTATCGAGATAATCCATATATTCTAACAGATGGAAATCATCCAGCTCATAATTCAACCTTGAACTAGTATTACCTTCAACAAATTCCCGCAACTGTGATACTTGCCTTTCCACATTAAGGTATGTAGTAGTCTCGGTTTTCGCCATGAACAGAGTAAAACATCACCTCAATCAATTGGGCCTTCGTTTTCATTTTGACCATGAAAAAGACATTAGGCACCAAAGTATCAGAGTAGTTGATAAAAGTTCTGAAAAATCTTAGCTCCATTTCAAGTGTCTCAATTTGATCAATCTTGACGCTATTCATATCGCCTCCGCATTTGATTTTTTTTAGGTGATCTAACACAACTTCAATGCCATTTTCAGCCATCTTCTGTAGATAAAGTAGAAAATGCCTGCAATTTCACACAACAAGGGAAAATATATCGAAAAAAATATAAAGAAGGACAAATATAGCTTATTTCTTGAAGTACAAGAGCAAATATGACTTCTTTCCAGTAATTAAAATACAAGCTATTGAAGGTGCTTTTCGGTGTTCATAATATTCCATACAAGACCATATCCATAGTAATTGTTTAAATTTGTCTGGTTTTGGGAGGGGCTCGTAAAAATTAGGAATTGATTAGTTTATTCTATATTTTCGAGGTTTGGAGGTACAAGAAGAGACTCCAAAATGTATATGCTACAAATAGATGGTCTAATATAATTCTTATCATCAACAAGTTGCTTTAGGTGGTAGCTCAAAGTTAGTCATTTTTGTCTTGGTACATTTTGGTATGTCCTTATGTGAAAAGAGTATCATATAATTGGGGATATGCGCGACCTAAATAGGTTTCAATTAGAAAGAAGGGCATAATACAATTTAACTTGGTTTCAGTTGTCATCTATGTCCTCTAAATTTGCATGTACATAAGTAGACACTTAAATTTGTATAAAATTGAACAAATAAATACTTTTATCCTACGTACAAAGCTAGCACAATCAATTATGTTGTTGGTCAAGCCTAGAGACTTCTTAACTAACTGGTTACTGTTGGCACAAGAACATTCCTTTCAAATGATCAAGAATTTTCAGATATAGCGTTGCACCCAAGAGTGTAGCCTAGTGGAGTTGGAAATGATGAAATTGGGTGGAGAACCAAGAAGTTTTAGGTTCACTTTCCTCCCAATTAGTCTAAGCCTTGGTGGGCGAAGTTACGTGCGCCCCCTTTCTCTCTCTCCTTAAAGCCCCCAAATTCGATAATTAACATGCACTCTCACCTCATTAAATCACTTAACTAGAGTAAATTTACATTGTTTGATGTAAGCAACCAGTGCGAATAAGTATTTACCAACAAATTCACATAATCTAGCAAGATATATTAGGTTTCACTTTTCAGTAGATGAATAATCTCTTGAAATTTTCTAAAAAACTTCTGAAGTATGAAAAATATAATTATGGATCAACAAACTCACCTCAATGATGATGAATTGAATCTACCACAAGGAGTTGTCTAGTACAAGGAAATCAAAAAATAATAAGAGTTTTGAATGGCGCAATCAGAGAGTATGTATCAGCTCTAACTAATTACTAAATAATTTATTTAATAGTAGGTAAACAACAATTATGCATAATTATTATAATTAATAGTTATGTTTCATTCCTATTGGCTAATTGACTGATAATATGAACTATGAATTATTAATAATGGTAGGTAAATACTAAGCAACAATTATTGGTTTATTAATTAATAGTGATAAATATTTTCCATCTCACATCTGAAAGGATCAACAGTATTTTCACTTATCCTATGGATAGCCTGCTTGGGTATGGAAACCTAAACATGAGACCCAAGACTACTTGGGTACCTAAATGGAAGTAACATGCTTGTTTTGCAAGAACACCAAAAATGATCTTTAGTGACAATTTAGCCACAATAACTTAATTGTCACTAAATATGTTTTTTAGAGGCAATTAATATTTTTTGTAAATGTCCTTAAAGCCTATAGCGACATTGAATCCTTTGGTGATTAACTAATGTCAGTAAATACTTTAGTACTCTTTGTTAATATGTATATTTATAATTGCCGCTAACATCTATTTTTGTTGTAATGTGATGGGCACCAAAAACTTGTTTAAATCCACTGCTGATTTCTAGTTTTCAGTAATTATCTTTCTTGTCTAATGTTGATTGTGTAATATTGCAAATCTTTGTCTTTTTTCCACTTTGCTCTCGGTTTCAACTCTTTCCTTTGACTCTCTGATTCTGGATCCATAGCGCCAGATAATATTTTTCTTCTATTTTTAGTATAATTATTTGGTTAAATACGCTCTTAATCATATTGTATTATTTGGGGGGGGGGGGGGGGGGGGGGTGTGACAAGCAATCGTTAGTTTTTCATAGAGAAAATGGTCAAATGAGCCCCCAATCTATTACCGAATTTTCAACTACACACTTTTACTTCACAGGAACCATATTACCCCCTGAACTATTTAAAATTGAAATTATTACCTCCCTAAATGCTTATGTGGCAAAGTGAGTGTATTTCACTCTCTCAAAGAGAGTGAAGATCAAAAATAAATATTAAAACTTTATTTTTAATATTATTTTCATTTTTATTTTTTTTCTTGATTTGTTTTCATCTCATCTCTTTTCTTCTTCTTCTTAACAACTTAGTAGAGCATCCATGGTAGTCATCAAATTTCATCATCACGATCTGGAAACACCACCATTACAATATCTATTATCACACCATAATTCCTAGGTAGAAATCTCTTTCCTATTCGCCACACAATAAAAAATTATAAAGTAAATTACTTTATCCCCATTTTCAAAATCAATTATTAGCCATTAAAACACCATTGAAATATCATTTTGAAGCTATTGTAACAAATTTTTTCAGTTAACAAAATTCATTCAAACAACTTAATAATGTTGGGAATCTCTTAAAAAATTCTCAAAATATCCTCATCGAAAAAGATTTTGACCGAAGTTTTATTTTTTAGGTCATTCCTCTTATTGAACCCCTACTCTTGTAAAAATGACGTGGAGGGTTGTCATTCCTCTAATTACTACCATAAATTTTTTCGCTTCTCAACCTTTCTACTTGTGGCTCTATGGTAAGATGGAATTGAAGGATGGAAGAGGAGGAACAAGAAGAGGAAGAGAAAGAAATAAAAGAAAAAAGAAAAACAATATAAAATAATCAGTCAAAAAGGACAAAAAAAAATTAAAAAAATTACATGTGTCAAACGCATGGATTTCACTTATCAACATAAATGTGGTTGTGACTTTTTAGGGAGGTAATAATTTCGATTTTAAATAATTCAGGGGGTAATAGGATCCCCGTAAAGTATAAGTGTGTAGTTGGAAATCCGGTAATAGATTGGGGGCTCATTTGACAATTTTCTCTTTTTTCATAAGTAGAAAGTAATAGAATATCAAGTAAATGTGTTTATAAATCAATGAGGGAGAAAATTAGGATTGTTTATTTGCCAATGAAGTCATAACTAAGTAAGACCGCATATTAGTAACTTCTTTTGGTGTGTAGTATGCTAGATTGGTAAGTTAATTTCACCTAAGTAGTTGGTCCCCCTAAATAGTTGAATATCACCACGCAACTTGATTCGTCTACGAGTGTTTGCTTTACTAACCCTTATCTTTGATTTCAAATTAACTATTTTCGAGCAAGGTCAGGCTATTAGATAAGGGTTGATAGTCTCAAATCTCTGTTATATAGTCCATTTTCCAATTTGTTACCCCTTTGGTCAAGCAAGTAAGAATAAGGTGAGTTCTAACGTTGCAACCGTTAAAAAATATTACGAAAGGAAAAACAATATACGCATGCACTCCATTCAAAAATTACTAAATATTAGGTCTACTTAGTTAAGTCTTCATAGTTCCCCCAACCGTAGTTGTGGGTTTAGTTACTCATAATTGTATGATACTGTCACCCCCCGAGCCTACATCCTGGACGTGGCCGGCACTCGATAACCATTGTTGATCCCCAAGTGAACCCTTGACATGATTGACTACTTAGCGAAAGAGAGAACGTTGAGTCCATAGAGGGGGTGTATGTGATGCCCCAACTTAAGATAAGAAGTCTCACATTGGCAAAACACACGAGAGATGTTGGGTATATAAGTAATCAGACTTTACCAACTAGTGAATCATTGTAAAGTCGTGAGGGCCTAGGCTCAAAGAGGACAATATCACTAGCGGGTTGGGTCGTTACATATACGAACAATGATTAATGAATAATGCATAATTGTACACTCACAACATGAATAGTAAAAAACCTGAAATCTTGAATTATAACTCAAAGTCAAAAACCAAGAATCAAAGTATGAATTCTCTCCAAATTCAATAACACAAACAAATTAAGGACTTGTTTTTCTTTTAGTCTCATATCAGAAAACAAACGTAAAATGTGAAAGAAAATCTAGGAAAAATATTTATGGGTCATGGTTACCACTCGTAAATATCCGGCTTTTTGGCATATCTCATCTACGAACTCTATCTACAACTCGTGAAAGCATATACGGCTCGTGGTTTCCAATCATAGAACTCAGGCTTTTCAACATAGTCTCTGAAACTTCATCTACAAAGTCATCTACGGCAGGGGCATAGCTATGTCAAATTCTACATTTAAAGGATATATATATTTAAAGTTGGACACCCTTAACAAAAGTCAAAGCTTTGGCATAGTGGTAATGTATGCCCATCCAAATTAAGAAGTTTTGGATTTGAACCTCAAATAGTACAATATTTTTTTGTTTTATTTTGACAGCAACACACTATTATTCTTGGACACCTCTATCTTTAACTTTAGTAACTATTCGTTGTAGAGTTCGAAGTACAATTCTTTGAAAGCTTAATGATCAGTATAGCTTATTAGCAAAACTTTTATATTATCAAATACTATTAATTAATTGGTACTAATATGACCAAAATATTTTTTCAATCGTACTTGAATTTGCACGTGCTTTTATAAACTGAACAACAATAAATTTAAAAAGTTTTTGAAGAAGGGAAAAGTTGAGAGATTTATATGCAAATTAATGGGTGCTATGGGAGATTTAAGTCTATTTCAAACTTTTAAATTGCTAATATTTTTTAGATAAGAAATACTCGTAAATCAATGTGTTAGCGGAAACGTGAAATTAAAGAACAAGAAAGATCTAGAACAACAATATTTAACGTGGTTCGGATCAAAATGATCCTACGTCCACCAAAGAACAGCTGCACCAATATTTATTTCACTCTACAAAGAATACAAGTGAAATACTACAAGAGAGAGAACATCAAATGCCTTAGAAGGTGAGAAGGTAAGTGAGAGGATGATTTGAAAATGAATTAAGAACTACCTATTTATAGGAATAAATTCTTCC